TATTACATGGCTTAAAAGGCCCTGGGGTTTAACGGTTATTTATAAAATATGTTACTGTATTTATGGCATAGCAATAAAGGAAAATTAAAAGAATATTATTTATTTTGAAACACACTTATTTTGTTCTTTGTTTACCACAGTTGCCAATTTAAAATAATAAAATCCCAATGCCTGATTCTGTATTTGCTTACATCCAAAAATTTGTTAATCTTAACCAAAAACCTAGCAGCTGCATTCTCAAGAAGCACTCTCACCTAGTTAAACAAAAACGTTCGCATATTTGTACTCGATTTGTAGACTTGTACAAATATTTGAGATAATATTTTAAAAGGACAAGGATGTTTAAAACAGTAGTTTTACGTAGAATACTTAACAAACAATTTATACCCAGGGGTCGCTAGTGAAGATTTAGAATATTTGTTCCTGCATGACTATGAGCAGATGTATATTTTAAAATATTTTAAAATTATATGTTATAATTATTAGTATTTGACTACACAATTAAATCAACCCAAAAGAAAATTATTTCAAAATAAGCAATCTGATATAGTGCTAAAATTATTTAAATTTATCACATTTTTGTAATTTTAACTTGAGAAGTCTTGATTGAACAAAATGAATAGAATTCAACGCTCTACAAAAAAGATTTGATTGTTTTTTTTGATAAATTGTACCCTTTAAAAGTTATTCAAAGATAAATTTGTGTTCATAGTTGAATTCATCGTTTTTTTTAATTTTCGCCATAATTCTCATTTATATCATAACTGAACGCACAGGTAGGTAATAAAAAAAATGAAAAAGTATCATGCAAAATAACGTATATTATCGCTTATAAGTAATAGTATCAAGATATTTAATGTGTTTTTTTACAATTTTTTTGTTAAACATTCTTTGGTTGCAGTCGGAAATTTGGCTCTGTATTCAATTACAACTTGAATCAAATCATGTTTCTGGTCTTCTTGAGTAGTTAAGTTATTAATATAATCTTGCGTTAGTTGAACTGCTCTTTCGGCGACATCGTTTACTACCTACAGATTATTAACGATTGCCAGCCCATTCAAGTAATTAGCATTGCTAATTCAAGTATCAGCATTTGTTTCTAAAAAATCTTTACTGATGTCAAATCCATCAAAAAATTTTAACGAACTCGAATTAATAAAAAAATCCATATCTTTATTTTCTAAATTTTCAACCTCATCATCAGTATTAATAATATACCGTTTGAATGAATCAAATTCTGAATCTTCAGTATTTTTTAAGGCTTTAATCATTTTATTTTTAATGTTAGTGGATTTATAAATATCTCGAAATATGTAAATTTTTAGAGTATAAATCGCCTTAGACATCCAGCGAGCATGATGAAATGCTCCTGGCTTGTAAAATTTGACTTTGTCGACATCCATTGTACCAAGGAAAATTTGGCATAATTCTAAGAGCTCCTTCTAATCATCTCGAGGCAAGATTAAGCACAAGAACTCTTGAACTTTGTCATTTGTTTGTGTCGTACCTAGGCTGGTTATGGCCTTAAGTACTTCACCAAGGTTCCTCTCCGGTTGACTCTTCAGATATAGAGGAATACCTACCTCGGGTTGCTTTGATTCAGTGGAGAAAGTAGGGTTTTGGCTTCCCTTGCGGTAAACAATTTCATAATCGAATTGTTGTAAAAATAAGGCCCATCTAGCGAGTCTTCCAGAGGGATTTTTTAGAGAATTTAGCCATTTTAATGCTTGGTGATCAGTGACTATCTCAAAGTGATAACCCTCTAAATAGGGCCTCATTTTCTGTACAGCCCATATAATTGCTAAACATTCCTTCTCCGTTGTGCTAAATTTCGCTTCGTTCGGGTTCAATGACCTGCTTGCGTAGGCGACGACGTGTTCTGTGTCATTTACCCTTTGAATTAGCGCTGCCCCCACTCCTAGGTCAGAGGCATCAGTTTGTAGACTGAACGGGTGATTAAAATCTGGGCAGGCTAATATCGGTGATTTTGTGAGAGCTGTCTTAAGAGCGGCAAATGCGTCATCCTGTTCGGTGCCCCAGGCCCATTTGACATCTTTCTTTATGAGTTGTCTAAGTGGGGCCGAAATTTCTGCAAAGTTTGGTTTAGATCGTCGGTATCTGGAGACTTTTTCTAAGACTGTTTTTACTTGTGGCAACGGCGCCTTTATCGAGACGTTGTTAATTTTTCGGGCCTTGATGCAGAATCGTTGCTCTCCATTAGCTTTCTTGACAATCACGGTTGGTGAACTGCAAGAACTATGGGAGGGCTTGATTTTTTCTTGAAGTTTCCTAGTAAAGCCAGGAATTGTAACACGGGACTTTAATTCGGCCTCCTGCTGTTGTACTTCGGGCATCAGGTTTGCCTGAATTACAGACAAGGCCGGACTTTGCAATGTTTCTGATTTTTCAGGGTTTTCAGGTTTTCCTGGGTTTTCTCGTTTTTCTGGTTTTCCTGGGTTTTCTGGTTTATTTTGGGTGTAATTTTCCAATATCTTATGCTTAGATATAAAATCCATCCCCAAAACAATATTTTCTACTAGATTTGGTAAAAAATAGAACTGGTGCTGGGTATATTTATGGTAAAATTGACAACCAACGGTGTAGGCCCTAGTAACGGGTTGTAGGGACCCATCAGCCAATTGTACCTGGCTCGTACATTGTTGTCCTGGTTGGTTTGGTAGATTTTCTACCACGGATTTTCCGATGTAAGAATATATAGCTCCGGTATCCAAAAGGGCATTCCATTCCATCCCTTTAATTTCCAATTTAAGGAACAGCCTGGGGTCCTTTGTTACATTTTCGGGTTTATTGGATACAAAATTTGGATTAATCGTCCGGATTTTTGCTTCACCCTGTATATTGTGTCTTAATGGCAAGATTGTGGAAACTTGGGAAATTTGAACCGCCCTGGCAGGTTTTTGATTATCAATTTCTTTTTGCAGACTTTCAAACTCTCCTGCTTGCCCCATCAAATCTTTAACCGACTTGGCATCGGCGCGTCGGATGTATTGACGATATTCCGGCCGTAGGTTTTTATACAGGGTGTACAACTCTTCCTCTGAGCTGTATTTTCCATGTCGTCGCATAAGTGACTGGATGTCAATCATGTACTCTCGAAACCTTTCCTTGGGACGTTGTTTTCTTTGAGAGATTTCTTCGAGTAGGTCCTCGGTATACCTACTGGGAAAATAAGTTTGCTTAAAATCCTCTACGAAATCATCCCATTCTTCCCAGCCAGCTTTCCAGTTTCTATACCACAATAGGGCACTGCCCCTTAACAGTTCCGGTAATGCTCTCAGTAAGTTTTCCTCTTCAAAATCATAGCATATTTTAAGCTCTTGAATTCTTTCGAGGAATGCAACTGCATTAGTATTGCCATCAAAGTGTACATTCCACTTTCTCACCTGGTCACAGACCTTTCGATCATCTTGTGGTGTACCTAAAATTGATGCTTCCCAAAGTGGTATATTAGCTGGTGCTTCTTTCTCTTCGGTGACATGATTTCGCACTCGTAAACGTAAATCGTTTACTGTGCCGGATGTTTCTAAACCAAAACCCTTACAAACATCCACTAAACCTTCCTTACGCAGGGTGTATATCCAGCTTAGTCCTTGTTTTACCTCAGTGCCAGCTGTACCTTCTGTCGAAGAATTTCCAGCCTCTGCCTGAGGAGTGCTTTGGGCTTTAACTTGCTCTTCTGGTTTTTTTGACGGGCTGGGATTTGTTTTTGGCATTTTAGAATGTAATAATTAAACCACCTTACTGATTCTCACGGGATATTTGCAGGTTATGTTTTCTATGAAAACTTTTCAGGTTAGGTTACAGGAATTTTCAGGAAAACCCGGGTCCTAGTGCTCGAGCGCCAAATTTGTGTCGTACCTAGGCTGGTTATGGCCTTAAGTACTTCACCAAGGTTCCTCTCCGGTTGACTCTTCAGATATAGAGGAATACCTACCTCGGGTTGCTTTTATTCAGTGGAGAAAGTAGGGTTTATAAGAATCAGTTAGGGTTGGTGGTTTAATTTAAAATGCAAAAGTAAACTTAAACTGGTTTATTTACCAAGGTAAACGTATGTACAAAATTATATAAGAATTATATACAGTATTTACAAAAGTATCGTAGACTTTGCACACAAGGGTTCTTGCATAGCCTTTAATCAGGACAGGCAAATGTTCCAGGGCTTTTCACAGGCAACTGGCAGGCACGGGCGTAGTTTTCAGTCCTACAGAGAGACAGGGCAGATTTGCAATTGGACTCTAGTGGAAAAATACATGTTGTTAGGTTATGTTATATGCATACAGGATTTACAGTTTCATTAACTCTGCTATTAAAGCTTAATATTATACGGCTTTAAGCCCTTTGATATTAAAAACAGGTTAACTTACTGTTAATATTCCACTGAGAGTTCTCTGTGATTTAGTGGTTGGTTTTGGGCTCACAATTGATAACACCATTTGGAACTGAGCCACCAGACGACTGATTGTCCATTGAAAAATGCAGCGGTTTTATAGACGAAATTCTGATGACAGACTTGATGAAAAACAATTGGGGCCGCGTGCAATAAATCCTTCACACGGGCCGTGTGCAACAACTGTTGACAACATATGCGGTTGACAGCTGTTCAAGCGCCATCTGTTAGAGTTTCGTCTAACTGCAGGTTTCTGGTAGTCCAACTCTTTCCTTGACGTCGGGTAGTTAGGAAATCGTCTCATAGATGTCGTAATGTGTATCGTTAGTAATGATTCATTACATGTTTCTCCAATCTTCTTGAGTAATTTCCGAGGAATTTTATTTCCGGCTAAACCATTTTTATATTTGGTTTTATCGAGAGTGTTCCAATTTTCCTGGAAATTCTTGAACAATTGAACATTTCGTCCATCAGTACCTGGTATTTTTGTAGTAAAGACACAATTCAATACTAGTTCGTAAATGTGATGTCTGCAAGGTAAGTATAAAAGCTCCGATTGTAATATTTGCTCCAGATTGATTGCTGCTCCACTTCAAGAACCGAGATTTGAATTGGTAGTGTCGAAACAAACTGCTTTAATATTATCAGTTAATCCCCATTCCTGAACCGCTTTGAAAATTGCTTGTGCCTGTGTTACTCCTTTCCCATCTGGTAATGCCGGTACGCTTAGTATTTTTTCGATAGTATTACTTCTAACTATGATCGGTACTCGGTCGACCTTTTTGCAAGAAAAACCATCAGGTATCAACTTTCCATCCCAATGTACTACCACCGGACCAGTTTCAATGTGACCAAATTCTCTTTTTATTCGTTCAGCAGCTTCTCTTCGAAATTTTGACCTGTATTCATTGAAAGATGTTTTGTTTAAAATAAGAGCACTAGTGTCAACTCCTAGGGCTGTTGTTATTGCAGATATTAATCGAACAGGATATTGCAACTATCTAAGGTAGCAACAACGTCTTCAGTCAAAATATTTATTGTTCCTCTCTTATTCTTAGGTTCATAATTTCGTCCTTGAACTTCAAACATTGATAGTGTGCTTTGGTAAGAAGTAGTTGTCTCACCACTTAAAGGCGGCTCACCACTTAAGGGCTGCTCACTTGTGCTTTTAGAGCTTGATGGTAAATTCACATCTAAAGAGTAAATGAGAAAATTATTACTTTAAATTTATCAACACATATGATATTTTCTACTCCACACAAATACTTTTATTAACTACCTGAATTCGAACAATATTCATCTTCGGTTACTAAATAAATATTATCGTCATTTTCGGATTTATTATCTTTCAATCGAGTGGTATTAGCATCATCTTGTTCGAACATTGGTTTTTCTGAAATTGATAAAGTATCTTAGTATCTAATGTTTATACCACGTCTAAATTAATATGCTGGTTTAACTCTCACTTACCTAATGGCTGACAAATATTGTCATTTTCTTTGCAAATATGTAAATCGTATTTTCTATCTATTCTTTGGTCAGATAAAAACTCTAACGCTTCTTTATCAACTATATCTTGAACTTTTCCATGTGCGATGTCAAATAATTTTTGAAGACACTATAATTGATGTAAAGTTTTTCAATTTTTTTTACACATCTTGAACTAATTTGTACTTTAATTCCAGCTCTATTCCAGAATTTAGTAACTTCTTCCGTAACGAATTGATAACTTACTGGAAGTGTTTTTTTTGCAACTCTTGTTTGATAAAATTACAATTTTAGCACTTCTTTGTTCGTTGGTAATTTATTGCCACTGATTGTTTCGGTAGGTTCTCCCAAAAGGAACATTGGATTTCTCAAGCACACAGATGTATTCATTTGTTTTGAAATATTAGATTATTAACAATTTCTGCTCAATGATTTAACTATAATAAACACTTAACTAAGAGCACAGAACAACTGAGAGGTTAGAATCACATGACTTCAAGTTCTGACAAGTCGCTCATAGATGGCGTTAAATGATAAAATAAATTTGAAACACGATTTCGTTCAGGTTTTTCTGTTCGTTTGCATTAAATATACGAATTTAATAAAAAAAAACTTTAAACACTAAAAATTATATAGAATTACTCTAATATAAGGCTAATTGCTGTTACTCCATAATTTGATTGCAAACAAAATGCAATACTAGATAAAAAAATGGAAAACGATGAATTTAACTATGAACACAACTTTATCTTTGAATAACCTTTAAAGGGTAGAATTTATCGAAAAAAGCAATCGGATATTTTTTGTAGATCGTTGAATTTCCTACAAGAATGAATTGTTTTTTAGCTGTCTTTATCTCAGTGGAAAAAAATAAAATGACAAAAGTGTAAAAATCCCATGTTATTTAAATAGGAAATGTATTATGATTTAGGCACGGGTTAATATGAATATTAAGGGCTTATTTGGGTCTGATATTTTTTTTTAGGTCATATCCTGAAAATTTGGGGGGCGTTTGCATAAAAAAAATAACTTGGGAAATAACGGACACCCTAATAATACATATAATATAAATATGTTATGTTATTTGCCTTTTTACTTAGAATATTTATGGGATATGTAGGATATAAAAAATTTAAAAATATATATTGAGGATTAACTGAACTTACGCCAATATTCAATACTGTCGTATACGACAGTGACCTACATAAGTGACCATTTTAGTATTTTCCTATTTTGTCTAAAATTGTCCCATTATGTAAAATTGACCTGTACATTTTCTGACCTTGTATTAAGACCAACATTTAATTATGCAAAAGTTAGATTAAATAAAGCTATATTACGTGCGGGGAAATAGTTGAGGGTTTCGTTATAATCGCATGCATATGTGAATTTAGTTAACTCTGCGTGTTACTAGCTAATTCAAAAGGATAAGTAAAACCAACTTCATCGTTTGTTAAAATGCACTTAATCCCAGAAATGTAAAAATAGATTCAAGATTAGATTGTTAATGAACAAAGTAAATTTATTTTAAGGTAAACAAAATATGCTTTTCTTAGTTTTTAAATGAATTTACAATTTATTAAATGAAATACAATACGTCGATAGAATAACATTCACCAGTTCCAGTTTTTTTTTTAAATAAACATGATCACTTTGATAATAATTTTTATATTTTTCACAATTATTAGATGCTAGAAAGGGATTTTTTTTTCCTAAATTATGTCGTTGATCCGATATATATCGCTCTGATCATAACACCGTACAAAAATAATCAAACAGTTTTAAGTCTAGGTGGTCACATCAATGCACATAGGCCGGAGCAAAGCTTTCTTATTTATTTTGCTGATCGGAGCAATTAAGCTTACTATTTTGTTGCGTGCATTTAAAAAAAGCGATTGTTTAAAAAATATATATAACATTACAAAAATATAAAAAAATTAAAAGTAATCAAGTCTGTTTTCCATTTTAGTTTAATTAAATTGCACTAAGAATAATTAACGGCTTATAAAAATTACCGATAGGCATTTTGCTAAGAATCCTGTTTCCAATAAACTGTCTTACAAGGATTTTGCGTTGTAGTAAATTTTCTGTTTTTAAATGAAATTGAAAAAATCGCTTGGTTTTTTTATTACTTAAACACCAATACACAGGGCCGGATTAAGACAATTTGTCGCCCTAGGCCAGTAATAATGGCGCCTATAATTAGATGGTATTAATATAACACAATACCTGTTAGCCGACAGGGGTGCTCATAGTAGGGTTTTATAAAAAAATTTACAAAAAAATAAATAAAAAAATAATTTATTTTTATATAGTAAAACAAAACAATGAACTTAATTTTTACAGTTTTTAAATAACCTAAAACAGAATTTTACCTATAACATTTCGTCGTTGATACTGCAAAAGGTCACTGATGCCTTTTTGCACAGAAATATTTTTTTTTATTTTTGTGGGATATTTCTCTTCGGCAGAAAGGCGTTCAAGTGAAACGACTTTTGGCATTATCAACGACGATTTACAATTTTTTTTCCTGCATTTAAACTCGGAAAAGGACTGACAAATATTTTCAAAATTTATTTTATTGACTTCTTTTGCTTCTATAGATCGCAGTCTTCTCGTCTACTAGGCAACTGCATTGAACATTTTTAGAAAAAGATCTGTGCTTTTAAAATAAAAAATGGTATTACACGTTTGATAATTATAATTATTTATTTTAATTGATTAATTTTAAAATTCAACCTACTTAAAAAAAATTGAGCCTTCTGCCTGGGCGCCTATTGGCTTCGCGGCGCCCTAGGCCATGGCCTAGGTTGGCCTATGGGTTAATCCAGCACTGCCAATACAGTTGTGAACAATTCTTACTTTTTCTTGAATAATAGAATATTGGGCAAATTTTAAGCTAAGACTCAGTTAGTCAAAATATATGGTCAATCAATACATAAGATAAAATTGGTTTATCTCTTATGGTTATATTGATTTTCAGGTAGATGACGAAAAAAAATCCCAGCTCTGTTTTAATTTTTTTTTAATTTTGTTATCTGGGTGAATATCCAAAACGGGGATAAATTGGGGTGGTAAAAAAATAAAAAGCAAAGATTAATAAAACACTAGCAAAATAATACCTCAATGTGTATTTCTTAATAACATAAAGTAATTTCAAGGCGGCTATAAATTAAACTTAATATATACATATAGTTATAATAATAATACTATTAGAAATTTTTTTTTTAGAAAATTTAAATTAAATTTATTATAATTTAACTATATATTATTAATTATCGTTAATAATGCCTTAACTTATATGAGCTAAGAGTTTAGGGCAATAATAAGAAAGTAAACAACTCCATGGACATACCTTTTAACTCCATGGAGTTGATGTCCATGGAGTTGATGTTTTTATAGTTAAAGTCACAAACTTTAGAAAATGGTACATAATTTAAGCAAAGCATATTTGGTTATTTCACCTGGAGAAAGTTTAAATTTCAATTGTATTTAAATCCCTTTGTTATTAAAGACATGGAGTTGATCTTTAATAAAAATACTTACCCGTTTTTTCGCAAATAATTGTTCTTTATAAATTTGTATTAAATATTACACCCCCCTTGCCTTGCTTACAGAAATCAACACTAAATCACTCAAACGACGAAGTCTTCAAACATTAATAAAATACGTTTTATACAGGGGATTTATCATATATTAAAAGGCTGCAAAGAAGTCAGCTGTAAAATGGTGTCTCATGCTTTATTCGAAATTTTGGGTTAAAATATCAATAAGTTTGCTTTTGGTTGTATTTTTTTATACATTCCAAGTTAGAGTAAATGCAATATGAAAGAATCATTTCACAATTGTATCTAGTCTAATAGTATATGGATGATTTGTTGTCCCTACGCTAGGTGGTGACAGTCCATGGAGTTGACTTTAAAGCGTTTAAGCAAATTCAAATTAATAAAATAAATAATGTTTTATTTTTTTGGTTAAGTACGTTCTACTGCTAGACATAAACTGTCTATTGTAGTGTTACTAAAATGCCTTGCTTACACAAATCAACACTAAATCACTCAAACGACGAAGTCTTCAAACATTAATAAAATACGTTTTATACAGGGGATTTATCATATATTAAAAGGCTGCAAAGAAGTCAGCTGTAAAATGGTGTCTCATGCTTTATTCGCCATTTTGGGTTAAAATATCAATAAGTTTGCTTTTGGTTGTATTTTTTTATACATTCCAAGTTAGAGTAAATGCAATATGAAAGAATCATTTCACAATTGTATCTAGTCTAATAGTATATGGATAATTTGTTGTCCCTACGCTAGGTGGTGACAGTCCATGGAGTTGACTTTAAAGCGTTTAAGCAAATTCAAATTAATAAAATAAATAATGTTTTATTTTTTTGGTTAAGTACGTTCTACTGCTAGACATAAACTGTCTATTGTAGTGTAATTTAAATGCTAACTACTTTCATTAGTATATTTTATTTAAGAGTTTCAGCATATTTGCTCCGTTCTGGAGAATCACTCATCTGTCTGTTTTGCAATCGATTTTAAACTAACTTTCTGATGTGCGAAGGACTCTCGAGCATTTGCGATGGACAACAATAAACGATCATATCGTGTCCAATAAAACGCAAAATCAGTTTGGTTAGTTTAGGTAGGTATACCAAACCTATAGGTTAGGTTTAAAATCGATTGCAAAAGAGACAGACAAGGAAGCGAGTTAATAAAAACGTGTTAAAATACCTATTTCAATACGATTTTTTTTAAATATTATGGAAGAACATTACTAAAAAAATTTATTTCTCGTTTGTATTGAAATCTATTAATTTTTGTAAAACACTGTATTAAGTAATCAAAATTTTAATTTGTTTAAAACACACGTTTAACTGCATGGATGAATATGTTTTTTTAATATATTTCACACGAACACGTTACGCCTTTTGGACAGAACATAAAACAAATATACACATAAAAAGCTCTGTAATTTTATTAAACCCTTAAATATTAATTTATTTATATACTTGCTATTTTGTATAAGCAAACTAATCAACTGTTTGCCAAATTTCTACCAATCTGCTTTGCCAATTTTTAGTCATTAAAACGAAGTTGGCCAATAATAAGTAAATTTTTATGCAGTTTTCGAGCTATTTCGTGGGGAAATAAACATTTCTAAAAACGCGACTTAAAAAAATATGACAACATGGTTTCAATTTTTTTTCGAAAACTACATTAAAAACAAACATCTACAAAAAATTTGCAAGAACTTAACCGACTGACATTATTTTCCCTACAGAAAGTATGAAAACATCGCTCCTACACTTTTTTCGTTTCTTAACAAACGAATTAAATAGCTTGGTGAATACGTAAACCTTTAAAGGCTGCGTTAAAAATTAAGGAATACTTTAAAATTAACGATTTCTTACTTAACGCCCAGTTTAACTAAATTTGGTGAATATTGCGGTTAAAACATGTGCTGTTAATAGACTTGACACTTCTTAATGTTCAATGACTATGCCAGTGTGGCGATTTTTGTTAGGTTCCCTTGAAAAGCATGTACTTTTAGCAGCGTTGCCAATTTGCCAGTAATTACTGGCATTTGCCAGGAATAAAGTCCTTGCCAGTAATTTTGCCAGGAGAGTTCAAATGCCAGGAATTTGCCAGGAATTGGTTAATTTACCATGTTAGTTAAAATACAACAATTATGTTTTTTCACTTATCGTTTATAATCCGTGAAAGTGCCCGTCTTCGATAAGTCATCTAAGATGGCCGGGCCATCATGGCCCATGATGCAAGGAATGTGTTTCTTGAATCATGATCATGGCCCACCTTACAGACTAAGTCTTTGGCCCATCTCTACGTTTGCCGGGTGGGGCAGGACTGTCGATTGGTCGAACAACAGAGTCGTGTTGTCAAATGTAAAAAGTGAAATTATCGACCAGGGTTGAATCAATCATCAAATTTTTAGAAAATTACAATTATAATATATAGGTATTGGATAAATCATTTGGTGTGAATAAAAAAATTAAAAAATATTTTTTTGTGTGTTGAAATAAGCCATTTTGATAGAAACCTAAAGATTGTAAAAATTAAAAATTCTTGGAATAAATTATAAGCATTCACGTTGCCAGGAATGATGATATTTTTTGCCAGAAATTTTATTGAGAACTATTGGCAACGCTGACTTTAAGGTAATTTCGACAAAACGCTTTTTGGCATACTCATTGAACATGAAGAAGTTAATTATTAGCACAAATTTTTAGTAAATTAAATTATTAAGGATATATTTTTTTAATTATCATACGTGGTTAAATATTATTTTGTGTTAAAGGCCACTTAAAAGGTTATTCCATGAATTATTGATGTGTGGGTAGACTAAACATTTTAGTATTTAGGAAAAAAATGTTTTGTTAATATAACTTAATTAGAATTAGAACTTTATCTATTACTTAAAATACATTTTTACAATACATTGTAAAATATAATACTAGACAAAATATGTCATTAATTTATAATTTTAAATAAAGTTCAAACCTTAAAATGCATGCTCGATTGCATAAATCATACACACAAATGTGCTTTACATTTAAATAAGAAGTGTTGCATGTTTTCCATTATAGTTGCCACGTTCTAAAATTGTTAATAAGAGTATAAACAATCCTTAGCGCGATAGGTTTTATCAAGCAAAGTGCATCGCTTTGCACCAAATTCCTGCCATTACAACATGCGATTTTATAAATGTGGAGAAAACGTGACAAATCAGCTACGTAAAATTTATCAAATTAAAGTGTTTTGGCAATTTGTTCTTAAAGTTGCCATAATAATATTGTTTGTTTATTTTTCTTAATTATTTACCAAAAAAAGGGTTGAAGTTAGTTTTATATTAGTGGAGACTGACAGTTGTCAAATGTCATACAATCGTTAAAATAAAGTGCCCTTCTTGTAAAATAATACTAAATGTAAAAGATATTTTATTATCTTCCCAGGTAGAACACGAATCGGAAAGATAGCGTTTTGATAGCAAAAAAATGTCGCCTTATCGATTCATCCGAATAATATCGTAATGTTATGAGATAGTATATATCTGCGAGTCATCTTAAAAATGTCATCATAAGGATAACCTCTAATAGATAACTAAATATATATGTCGGAAAGCTGGTTTATTGATAACATAAAGGATATATCCATTTGGCATACTGTCTAATGGACAACATTTATTTGTCAGTTTTTTTTATATAGACATTTGTTATCAATAAGATATCATTTTCAACAAAACAGTTTGGTAACATTTTTGCGCTAACATTTTGTTGTCATTTTTTGGACAAGTCCAAGATAACGTTTGAGCCGTTACTTAATTGCTAACGATTTATTGTTAACTTTTAGATAATTTACAAAAAGTTAGCATAACGACAAGTTTTCGTCAAGCGCTTTCCCGCTATTTTAGAGATTATTGCGCATGCGAAAGTTTGGTGTCAATTCTTATAAGATATTTTTGATAAAATCATTTATTTGTTTAATAGTTATTAATAATTAATTTATACGAGCTCGTATAGTACCTATAATTAATGCTAGCATTAATTTGTGGTGTTATTTAATTAACTGGTGAGTGTTTATTTTAAATTTGTCAGCTGATATCAGGACGATCAAGAAGGTTATGTGCATTTTAACAAATATTATTTTATAAAATTGTAATTATGGACTGTGTAAAACCGCGAAAGAAGAAAAGTTTCTTAAATTTAACACGACGACAACAACTCCGACGCCTCGAAATTTTGCGGCAAGAGGATCTTTTAGTTTTACCTTATGCACAAGCTCATGATGCCCAAGTTCAAGTTGTTCAAAGAATTGGTATGGTATGATAATAATATGTGTTGTTTTGTATATAAATTTAGATTAAAAATATATTTTGTTATTTCACCTATAAATTGTATTGTTAGAATTCATTTTAAATTATTTATACAAAATGCTCACGTTAAATTGATGCAATATTATGTTATTTCTCTCCTATCAATTGAAGGTTTAAAAATGCATTGATGTAAATTTTAAATTCATATTATCAAGATGCAATTAAAAACTATCTTATTAATCATAATAATTATTGCAAATTTATATCAAAACAATTTTTTGTGTAAAATTTTAATTGGAAGAAGAAAATCAACATATATCGCATTAGTTGCATGCATGAATAAATAATTTATTCTAGATTCTCTCCCCTGCCCTCTCCACAGCATACAAAAAGATACCATTCGGATGACATATTTATGCTAGCAATTGGTTAACATTATGCTACAGTATTGTGCACTCAATAAGTTGACATTCAGATAACAAACAAGTAGCTATTTAGGCATCCTTTATTTGGATAGCAATACGTCATCATTATGAGGTTATCAATGGGACTGTCACTAGATAACAATAGGCTAACATTTTGTACATCGGAAAGTTATGCAAAGAACAGACATTAGTAATAGTTTCGGATAACAAAAATGCAACATTTTGGACAGTCCAAAAGTCAGCAGTTGACATTTTGATGTTGGCATTTGGGCCACCAAAAAGTTATCCTAGTTCTATCTGGGTTGATACAAAATTATTTAATTGTTTGTCAACGCCAATATTTGAATAGTTTATGTTTTATTTATACTCTGGGATTTAAATAATACTTAATCACTTGTTTATAACAACTTTAATGTAGCATAAAAGTAACAGTACATTTTAGCGGGAGTTGATACTTGAAACTAACTTCACCCTATCAGGTAACACCTAACAGTGGTACCACACATAATATATAAATTTACTAACATTTATAAAACACCTCCCTTCTTAGAAAATAAACCTAATACATGTGATAATCTTTAAACCTACTTGGTGCCTTAATACTACGCTTATTACTAGTCGGAACAGGTATTTTCATTCTTATTTACAATGTCAGTCATATCACTATAATTGTCACACTCTGGAAGCTTAAAACTAGCTACATTCAATGATTTTTTTAAATTTACACTAATTTCTATTTATATTAACCAGAAAAAAAATTAAATAATCGATAGAAAAATAAGAGAAGTTTATAAAAACTTGTAGTTTTTAAAGCTTCGTTTTCAACGTTTATTATTATTTCCACAATTATTAAAAAAATATTTATTTAAATTTTAAAACAAATTAAATAAATAATTAAGTTTTCGGTAATGGAAAAACGGCTTAATTTAATGTTATTAAATTTATTTTAGTTAATCCAGAGGCAGGGCTGATATTTAAAAATAAAAATTGTCTACGCTACTACTTTTTAATAAGTTATATATTATTTTTCTACAACCAAGCAAAAAGTACAAATTTTCGCTTCCAAAAGAAAGCACAAAGTTGCACTTTTTTGAGAAGCGAGCGTTTTTTTACTTTGGCGCTCGCTTAGTTACCATGGAAACCATAATAAAGAAACCTTTAGTGTATTTACGACTTTTGACACAAACGTCAAATTTGAGGTTATCAATAATTATTATTTTTTACCAAACATTCTTATAGAAACACCGGTTGTAGAAAAAATCCTGTGTGTATTTCGAGCGCAAAGTGACATTGCCGCTCTCGCTCAGAGCGGCAACTTATCACTTTGCGCTCTTAACACATTGCGTGCCACGTGTATATTTGGAAAGTATCCTAGGGGGCCATGAGCGATTATTGCTAAATCTTATAAATCATCGAAAAAAAAATAGTAATTTTCCGAATTTGCTCGAACCAAATATACCAAAATGTTCGTGGCAGGCCACAAATTAATAACCCATAAGATAAAGCGTGTAGCGTCTAGTATGGCAAGCCGTTTTGCCATTTAACAACACAATTTTTATTCAACATCATGGAAAATAATATAATGAAAATTGTTACAAAAAATAACTACATATTGGAAAGGTGTTGATGTTGAATTTTAATTCAATGAATTATTTTTAATACGTCTATAAATATTATAATTTTTATTTGAATCTTATGTTAACTTGCAATGTTTTTCCTATGGTAATATTAATTCAAGTAATTAAAACGATGTAGAATATAACTTTATTGCTGGAATTAAAATTATGTTTAATATAATTTTAATTTCTAGATTTAAAATTATATTGTAGCATAATTTTAATTCGTGATTTAAAATTATGTAGAGTATAATTTTATATGGGCGTAATAAAATGATGTGTACATAATTTTAATTCAATTAAAATTATGCACACATAATTTTAATTTCAGAATTAAAATTATACACACATCATTTTAATTCCTGAATTAAAATTATACACACATCATTTTAATTCACATAATTAAAATTATACTATAATCATTTTAATTGAATTAAAATTATACTATAATCATTTTAATTGAATTAAAATTATACTATTCATCATTTTAATTGAATTAAAATTTTACTGTACATAATTTTAATTGAATTAAAATTATCTACATAATGTTAATTTGGCAACGCCGCAATCGCGAAACGTATGCTAACGCTAGAATGTTCCTTTTTTTGGTAACTTTTCGTTTGGCTAGTTGGTAATGTGGCACTTAAATCACAGAATAGTTCTATGCTTAAATTAGGTACTTTCCTAGGGGTACTTTCCTAGGGGTACTTTTTCAACGGAAAAAAGATTTAAAGAGGTAAGTTGTTTAATTTTAATTAAGCTTTGCTTGTGCAATGCTCTAAACTTTAAACTGAAA